TGTAAACATATAGGGACTTTGGTACGTCATTAATAGTACATGAAATTACATAGCGCGCGAAATTCGCGTTACTTCCACACGCGCGTCGCACTCCACTGGAACCTTTTTGGTGTAGTAGCCGGTTTCACACGTTTATTTCGAAAGCGCACGCGGCCTTTTCCATCAATAATTAAATTCAGTGATTCATTAGCTAACGAAATTTAACGACAACAACAGCGAAATCGCTGTACTTTTGATACTTTTCGCGCGCGCGTCCCGAGAAAAACCGCCGAGTCAGAGCCTACATGTATAGAGAGCGAGATTATTACCCCACATATTCGCCTCTCTCTCTCTCTTTTTCTTTTTGACGGCTACTCACACGTACCGACACACATACACATATACAGAAGGTTTAATCGAGGCCAAGCCACACGAAAAATCATCGAGCGTTTCTCTATACGGAGAGGGAACTTTCCGGTGCAGCCCGCGTTCAAAGATACCATGTATACTCATAAAGCCATGGTTACAAAACGATACGTTAATGGCTTGTTTTGTCCCTATACATACCTATGTACAAGATCCAAAAAAGGCCATTAGTTGTAGTAAAATATGTAAAATTAGATTTTTTTTTTTTTTTTTTTTTTTTTTTTTTTTTTTTTTTTCTATCGGACCATTACACAAGCCAATGCCCCTAGCTAATTTTGAAGAAAATTCCGAATGGCCACATATGCACACATTACTGCTGAACAAAAAATTAAGTTAATTGGAAGTAGGTTGGGGGGGGGGAGAATATATGTTAAGGTCGCGCGCGCGCGCGAGTGGGTGTTCGATAACGAAATTTTGAGCCCACATTGGGGGGGGGGGGGGGGATATACCTATTGGCGTAAAGGTTTTTCACTATGCCATTCGAAATCGATGAAGCAGAAGCAATGAATAATTTAGATCAGCGGTAGGTGTATAAGTAGCGGCGTCATTGGCAATAATGTCCGGTTGACACGTAATGTTTACGTGCATGGGTATTCTTCGTCTCCACAATCGAGCCGCGTGTGTGTTGTGATCACATGCCCATACATTGACGTGTCACATATATTACGAAAGCGGGGCCTTTCGAAATTTTATTTCTAACAAGCAGCATCTGTGACCGACCTATAGCTCGTCCTCCTATAAGGGGGTTTTAAAGCTGTCCACCCGAAAAACAAGAAGCGATGGAATGATTGACACAAAAATTTTCGATGGCAACTCAAAAGCCACAGTTTTAAAGGGGCGCGTATGACATGTGCATTATAAGTTACCATATTATTTATGAAGTAGCGGAGCAATGGAAATGCCATCATTTCCCTGACCTCGTTATTGAATTTTTAATCGTCAGCTGTCATACCTACTTACGATTTCATTTTTGACAAGTTTACATCAGCTTGTCGAGCGAGAAAACTTCACGAGTAAATGAATTCAACAAAAAGTAACAATAACCGATTATTTGTGTGCATCTATAGTTTATTCACCTGCCAAGATCCTTCAATTTTTTACTCCATAGAGCGTACGATTTGTCTTTGTCACATTTAATAAACAAATCGCAAATCAAGTCCACACGTGCTTTCACACTCGTACGCATTGTCCGATCAATTGAGAGAAGAGATTTACACCAAACGTCGCGGTCTCTTATGATATACCATATACAAGTGTATGCCTAAACGACACTCGATTCGCGCGACAACGCAACCGATTTCCCTATACATATGCGCGCGGTTCTTCTCCCGCGAGTGATTTTCCACAGAGCGAACAAGTGCGTTTGCAATCCCTCCTCCTTCATTTGCGCTGCGTCATCAACATCAGGTGTGTGCACACGTTTGTGCTTGCAGGGTCTTCGATGCGCAAAGATTATGCTGCTACTTCTCCGTACAGTCCACACACGTACATATTATATGCATACGTATATATTATACACGGAGTGCAGTCAAACAGACTTTTATGAGCCACTGTACCACTGAATGAAAGCGAAGAATGTTTGTTTTACGCTTGTTTTTGCGTACATCATCGATAATATACTATTGGAATTTTTTCGTGGTAGTCACACTGCATACACATGACACGGGCGATGACGTAGATTGCAGAGACCTACGTAATTTTCGAGCTACATATGTATACACCCATCCACATATGATACCCTGCACCGGATGACGTAAGTGTCACCTGTTGCTGCAGTAATAGTCGGGGGGGTTTTTTCAGGTTTTTGTGAATCACTGGTTGAAATGTATAATTTTACTTACCGTAAAAAAAAGATTGTAAAAAACAATCAGCTAGAACTTAAAAATAGAAAGGGAAAAAACATATGCGCACAGCTGATACGTATTTCGAACGTGTTTGATATGCGTGCATCTGAAAGATGCATTTTTTTTTTATTGTTTCAAGCCGGTATCTCCAGCTGCTGCGAGTACTTCTTACAAATGCTTGGTCACGGTACGATACGTCTCCGGTTAAACAAATACAGTAAACGAAAACTCTTCGGTGATTGATGTCCAAAGAAGAAAGTTCATCAAGTACCATTCGATAGAGTGACAATAATAATCTGAAATTTGACGTGCATCTACAAAGTCAATTTTTTTTCATTTTTTAGATACCCTAGATACATGGATAATGAAAATATAATGACCCATCTTCAGTATAAAGATGAGTAATTGTGTATTTAGAATCCATGTATGTTTGATAATTTATTTTTTCCAATAACGAGAAAAATATATCCCCAAATGGTCATGTAGATATTTATTTTTTTTCCTCTTACCTCATAGCACACACCTCTGAATATACGTGTACAAAAGATTATAGGTATATCGCTTATGGGTGTGCACAGTGGTATGGGTATTCAATTTTTGTGCGCAGTTGCGCGCTTATGGTAATAAATTCGATTCGCACAAGTAATATGTAAACTCTATTATCTTTCTCCCTCGATCTTTCTTTCTCTTTTCCCTTGATTTTAATGAGACACCGTGTGTGAGGGTCTAAAATATCTCGTTGGTTGAGGTATCGATACCTCGCTGTTATCTCGATTTCTTTTCATTTACAGAGATAATTTTCAATGGAAATTTTTCCTGCTCAATTTTCAGAATATACATCCTATGTTGGATGGATACGAAAATAAGTACCCCTCTGTACGAGAGTTGGGGTGGAACAGTATAAAAGTGCTCGTTGGAAATAAAAAAACTTACAAAATATAAATATCATTTTATTATTTTCAAACCAATCACTTTATTAAACTCAAAATCAAGATAAGTCATTCTTCCCCCCCCCCCAACCAAAGATTC